TATATATATATAATCTATATGTATATTATATATAGTGTTTTATATATATATATATATATATATATAAAACACTATATATAATATACATATAGATTATATATATATATAGGCTTCCAGTTGCTTAAATAAGTATTATAAGTATTTTATATATATATAACAGAAGGCAGCTGTGTTGCCCATGGTTTCAGTCCCGGGTGTGCAGCAGCAGGGCACAAGGCTCGGGACAGCCCTGGCTGCTGCCTCCCAGGAGCTGCCGCCTCTCCTCTGGAAGGCGGCCCCAAGCCCTGCTCCAAACACACCTGCCCGCTCCTCTGGGCCCTGCCTTCCTGGAGCTCCTCGGGGCCCCGCGGCGCTTGGCCGGAGTCGCCCAGGCTGGTTGCTGCAGGATAGAGCGCAAAGCGTTAGTGTGAATTTAATGCAGCAGGAAGACCCTGCCCTGGGGAACGGAAAACAAGGCAGACACAGGAACATGCCCCAAAGCCCCACGTCGAACCGATGAGAAGGCACCGGCTCTGGGGTCACATCATCGCGTTTTACTCACCTAGCCCTGTTGGGAAGTATGGATCACCCTGATGAGGCATGGGGATGGGAATGCAGGAATGGTGCTCTTAGTGCCCTCTAAAATATGGATAAAGGGACTGGGCCTTGGATCCAGGTCTAATCCCTCTCACTGCAGCCTGGATAAGTCACAGCGCTCTGTTGTATTATTATTTACAGCTGGTGAGTAATATTTGCATAGCTTAAAGAAGCAACAGTATAAAAAATAGATCAATATATACTAGGCACTGCAATAACAGATTTATCTAGATAGATAAAACTGAAACACTTAAAAAAATATATCTTTGCTGAGACTGAGTGCTAAGCAAACCCTTGAGAACTTTAAAAGAAAGTCCAAGTTGGGCAGACTTTGAGTGTGAGCAGGATTAACTTTCCTTCTCCTCTTTCCCCATCACCTTAAACATGGATGTACCTTGCAAAGCAAAGCTGTGCAACATCTCAGCCTCACCAGGGACAGCGGGAGGAAGGAAAGATGGAACGTGGTTTATTAAAACCAGCTTATAAAGCCCTAGGACCAGTTTATAAAGAAGACTGGAGTTTTTTTCCAGTGCTTTGAAGATAGGACCAGACGAGGTCCAAAGATGGGACCAGATAAGGTCCAAAGCTTCAAACAAATCTTTGGTGGAAGTAACAAGCTCCATGTGGCTTTAAGAATCTCCAGATTAGAAGAATCGCATCCTTTCTGGAGCCTTGTTTTCCTTTATATCCTTTTTCTGAGACTATTAACCCATCTGGACTCAGTGCGCTCACCACAAAAGTTCTGCATCGCTGGAAGCACTTGAATTTCATCCCAGACTCTTGTAATACTTTCACAAGTATTTGCTTCACCTCAATTAAGAAACAAAACAAAATACACAGCAAGAGGAAATATTTTGATCACAGAGTAAAACAAGGTAGCAAACCATGACCAGAATACTGTAAAACAGGTATTTAAATTAGAAGAACAAAAAAAATGGTATTCTTGTAGGCAACCTCCCATTAGATGGCAGAATTCTTTGGATCTAGAAACACTGTCAAAACACTGCAAATAAAATAGTAACCCTCTTCTGCTGATCCCAAGGCCCTCCAACTTTGCTCTGAGCAGCAAACTTCAGGCCTGGGACCTGGAGGTCACTACCAGTAGGGACGCTGCCCGTTCGCAGGGTATTTTTCCTGAACTTCAAGAACAGTCTCTGGTGCCCAGCTGCATGTCCAGTTGCATGCCCTAAAGGTTGTGGCTCCAAGAGGAACACAGCAATTGTCACTGGAGGGAACTTCTGACTAATTAAATCCTAATTAAAGCTCTTTATATAAAAGTAATGTTTAAATTTAAAAAACATTACAAGTGAGAGATCTAACAGTGGCACGGATAGAACATCATGGTTACAGCTTAGAAAATGAACAGGTTATTAAATGAGAAACTATGATCAACCAGCTCTTCACATAAGACTACATGAAGACGTTATGAAAACACATTTATAGTTGTTCACTGTTTAGGTAATATTCTGTATCTTCAGAAGTTAAGTTTGGAAATACTGGCTGTTCTTACCAATTCTAGCATGAAATGCTAACCAGATGCATCCAAAGTGGAGCTGCACCTGTGCTAGTTTTGTAAAGAGCAATGACATTTCCTTCCTCCTTACTCTGTGCTCATTTCTGAACTCCTACGACCATCCCAGCAGAACACTTGGCTTTTTTTCCACTCCCAAGCTTAGAATGGCTGCAGAAGTCACTCTTGTGGACGGCTGCTAACGCCTCGCGCATTCTTAAGCAGGGACTGCCTCCTGTATTTCTGCTCCTCCAATACAGATACAACCAAACCATAAACATTTCTGGTATTGCTGTGCTTTCCCTAGCAATATGCAGCACAATCACGTCATATAAATTAGCCTTTTAAAGGAAAGCCCTGAATCAAGTCATAAAAACATAATCTTTCACGCTGCCCTCTTTTTGCAGGATGGCTTCTTCACTGTTTCAGTGCCACGGCCTTTGTTGTAGGGCCTGAGGTGATCATACTCATTTTAAATTGCTCCTTTCAGCTTTTACCCTCCACCCACAGGTCCTTGGCTTCTCTCCTCACTGGTTATTGCACCCTGGGGCTGCAGAAGAGGCGCCCGCCTGTTTTTGTTTCTTCCGGCGCTTGTTCAGGAGGCGGTTGTTGGATGTTTTCAAGTCTTTAATTTTCACCTGATCATAGTCCACCCTCATGGTAGCCAACGCGCTGGTCATCTCCTCCTGAAAGAGAGAAAGACCTTTATTTAAAACCCCAAGGCACAGGCACCGCAGCCACTCCACATTCCTGCCAAGAGACAAATGCACTGAGCGCAACCCTGTTACGCTGCAAGCAGAAATAGCTGGGCCCTTTCTCTTGCACTGGACTATGACTAAAGGCTTCGTTCTACTCACAGACTCATTCAGGATGGGCTGTGCAGCCAGCGCGGTGCCTGTGAGCACCCAGGACCACATTCAGCTGGCCTAAATTCCAGCATGTCCCTGGGCCTGGCATTTCTTCCTGGCTGCTGCTGAGTCTGGGCCTCTTAGAGCAGGCAGAGCGCTGCTTCCCCTGCTCTGTTACCAAAGTAGGTTAAGCAGGAACTAGAACAAAGAGTCCACACAAAGTTGTTTCCAAGTATGCGCTGCAAGTTTGAATTTAACGATCCCATGAAGGCTAATCTTAAACTTCTAGAAAGACTAGCAGCAAAAATCCACTTAACTGAATGTCTAAGAATTTACATATTCTAAAAGTTTAGTCCAAGAAGGGAAATAAGGATCACATACTATTGGAATGCCAAAAGCTCAAGGTAGTAATGCATTGAAATGAAGAAGGCCAAGTGAAAATGTCCTCATGACACCTTTGACTTGAGAGGCAAATGTTATTCAGGTCCTCTTTTATTGCTATTTTTTAACCATAATATAGTTTAACAGCTGACACTACACATCAGTGATCTAAATGAAATCAGTAATCACTAGAATACATTACAGAAAAATTGTGGTAATCTACATGCCAAGCACTGTTAAGTGCAGGAAAGTCAGAATTAATTATAAAAAAATATGCCGACCTGACAAAGGCCAGCACGGAAGAATTGAAGCCTGCAAACCACTTTAGTCTGCCCTGTAGATTCACTTTGCAGGAAGCATTCAATTGTCATCATTCAAACAGTAGGTGAGGCACTGGACTAGATTAAGAGAAAAACAGATGCATTTTCCCCCCCTTTTTTAATCTCCTACAACTGTCACAGCAAAACAAGGCTAAGGTTGCTTAATGTTATTTTACAATACAGGAACAGATTAGGAAAGCTGAATGCAGCCTAGCCCTCCGCTCTGCCTTCCTACATTTTCATCATCTCCTTCACTTTAGCTCAATATTCTCCCTTGCATTGCCCCTTCTCTTATGTGGTTACATACAGTGGTTTATGAGGTAGCATCAGTAACACCTTTAATCATAGCCATTTTATTTGGTGACATTCTGCTTAGCTGTCTAGCTGTCAGAAGAGACCCAGACAACAGTCTTCCTTTCCATGCAGTTATCACCATACACCACCATCCAAACATCACCTCCAAGGGAATAAGGATCCAAAGAGGCAGCCCTCTCCAGTGTATCATCAGACTTGACTCCAAGAAACCTAACTGGGATTGACTCACCTTCACTTCATCCCAATGGTCTTTATCTTCTTGCAGTACTCGAGCAGTATGAAGAGGAGTTGGTGGCACTGCCATGGATCTCTAGGCAAAAGGATAACATAAAAATGAGTTTTCCGTGAAAACACCCTTAGGAAGTGACTGCTTGTTCTTCAAGGTACATGGTGGTCACAAAACTTATCTGAAATTTCTTTACTGGCCCCCATTCTTCATGCTTTCAAACACGCCCACAAGCTAATATACAGTTACTCTGTATGAGGCAGAAAAGGATTGTAGACTCCATACAATAAAAATGTATGTAAAGAACAAAAGGAGGGAGTTATCGTTTACTAAACTCTGTTTCCTTTCAGTCCAACCAATTAGCTCCATGTTGTATATATTTTTATGTCCATTTTGTATTTTTAACCATCATTTCATAACTCATTAATCATCACTTTAAAATTGTTAATATGACCTTTTTCTTCTAGCATTTGTACCAGGAGAAATATTCTTCTACACACACATTATCTGACATTACCATTTCATGAGGTCATAAATGTGCCCAAAAGGGGAAATTACACTATTATTCAGAGGAAGGGCTCAGGATCCTGGCACAGTTCAGAAGACAATGCTTTGCTTGAGGTGCTCTTCCACCTAAGACATAAAATTGAGATCTATGCTCACCTATCACGAAAGACCTGTTGAGTTTTTTAATTAGAGTAAGGTATCATTTCTAAAGGCCAAAGCACAGCTCCTTGGCTGGATTCACCACGGATAAAATGGTATTTTTCCCATGCCATAACCCAAACCATGATTTCATTTGGATATTCTACCCTCCTTGTGCTTTCTATCCAAACTTGCTGTCTCATGTGGTGGCACTTCATACAGAGGCAGCTACACATGAACAAAGTCTAAGGAGATACCTGTAGACACCACTGTAAATTAAAGCAATGCTCACACTCCACTGAGCTCACAGTACCACTGTATCAAGTTCTGCAGTGGTTTCAGAAGCAGAAACCATGGCTCCTGCATCCTCTGGAAAAGCAAAATCTGCTGCTCCTGGAGCGTTTGTCCAGCTACAGTATCTAGCTTGGCTCTTTGGTGCAGTCATAGTCTATAGATTTTATCTCTATCTCCTTATTAACTGGTTAAATATTTATTTCGTGTAACAGGCACAGCTGTGGGTGCTGGCTCCCTTAGCTATTAGGCACTCATTCAGTAAAACCCATCCCCTGTTGACCTCCTCCCAAAACACCAGGTCTGAAGACCTCCTTCTTGGCCTTCAGTTATGCTGTATGTATGAGTTCTGATCAGTGGTTACATTTGTATTTGTTTGCAACACTTGGAGAAATTGTCCGAGTTCTCTTCCAATTGTAGAGATTTTTTTGTAAAAATAAGATTTTCAGCTTTCACTATGGAGACATTATCTGCTTCACCAGGACGTTATACAGCTACATTTCAGTGTGTTTCTGAGGGGTGTGAGGTTCTTGGACAACAGACGTTATAGAAATGCTGGCTACGAGGTAGGCCCCTGTTCTGCTCCTTCCTCTGAGGCTCAGCAGTATGGGAGAAAAGGGCAGTCTACAGGACAAGTGATTTTGTTCCTGGCTGATGTTTTACCTGGGCAGTGGGAAACAAGACTAGCCTCCTTTTGGGCACAAATGTAAGAAGAAGGTGAGAAACATAAGCTATTGTTCTGAGTGACATCTACAGAGCAGAGATGATCCCCTGAAACTGCCTGCGCACCACCGACCTCAATAACACTTGGGATTGTCGTCTCCTGTTTGAAACAAAAAAATACTCAATTATGAAAAAGGGTCTTTTATTTCCAAAAATAGTTTGAAAGGAAAAGAGAACTAAACCAAACCATCAACTGAAACTTGAACTGGGACTGTAGGCTCTGGACAACCTTATCTGGCAATCTCGCGCCGGGCACTAAGCCGAAAGCCTTGCTGCTTGCACGGGTGCTTCTGAACTCTGCCAAGGCTGAGAGCACCCACTGAGCACGAGGCTCTGCACTCACACAGCTATGCACAGCGGTGCCCGACACCACTAATAATAGCTCTCTGAATCCTACACTGATGAAGTAAGCATGGTTTATTTTTACTATTCTAAAGGGAGTAACACGTGTGTGTGCTGCAGTCAACAGTGACTGCCTCCTCGGAGAAGGTACAGTTATATTTGGCTTTTGCTTACAAGGATGATATTGTGGGTGCCTCTCTGCGTGTCCTCTGGTAACACCAGGAAGAGTTTTGGTTTTGCAGACACACGTACCTTTGTGGAAGGCATTCTAAGTTAATGATGCTGTTAACAGAAATTAACAGAAATCTGCTGTGTTATGTCCAGCTACACTAAGTTCTGCATGTCAGATTTAACATATTGCTCCCTTGTAAAAAACTATATGGAACTCACGTTAATCCAAGGGTGATTCATAAACTGAGAGACTGTCATCCTCTCGGTTGGGTCAGTCTTCAGTAAATGGCGAATCAGCTGCTTGGCTGAAAAACAGGACCAACATGACATGTTGCAGTCTACCACTGTGTTCCCAACTAACCCTGAGAACACAAATACCTGCTGAATGAAGGAAGATAATCTGGCAGAACTCAAAACACCTACCTATTGCTGTTCCCATGTTAAGAAAACACGTACAGCATGGGAGGTTATTATATTTAAAGAGGCAGAACATGAAAACATTCAAAAGGGAAGAGGTAGGAAAGAAAAACACAGGATTTGGGATTCTATCTACACTGCCTATCTCACAAGAACACTGTTTTGAGAGGAAAAACTTGAGAAAAGAGAAACAGCAATAGAAAGCTGCCGTCCAAAAGATAGCAACAAGCCTGATACGATGGGCTGAATGAATGCACGGGCTGATGTTTTGAGAAATGACAGACATCAAAAACTGGCACAGGCCTTGAAAACAAGGACAAGAAACTTCTTTTTGAGAACAGAGAGGCCACTAAAAGGACAACAAAGTCACAGAAATGGATTGCCTAAACAGTCTTTGCAGCAGCTTTCTGTGGACATGTATCTGCCAAGGCCAAAGAAATGAGTACTACGTAACTGAGACATGAGACAATGAGAGTTTGGACAAGAGTTTTAGCTATGTGGATGGACAGGAAAGACTACATCTAAGGGATGTTTTTGTTTTTCCTACAGACTTTACCCTAACTTGCTTAGGGGATCCTACAAAAACTTCAGAATAAGAGTTTTGTTTTAGCAATCCTGAAACTGAAATGACTACAGGTTTGTAAGGAGCTGTCAGAGGTAGAAGTGGAGATTTTGCTTTGGTGATATAGGTTGTAAAGGAGGTTTACAGCAGAGATTACCCAGAATCTAAAGTGTACAAGGAAACCAAAAGAAGTCAAGTCAGAAGCCTGTAAAGCGACTACAGGAAGTTGCTGGGGAATTCAGTGGAAGTCTCCATAGGTGAGGCAATAAATAAATGATTAGGAAGAGAGAGAAATAAAATCAGAATGGAACAGAAAAAGGGAGGGCAAGAAGAACCTGACTACAGAAGTTGTCTGATCAGCCTGGAGCGGGGCACATGGCAAGCAAAACTTAGCACGTTCAAAGGTTCAAAGGTACAGGCTACCTACCTTAATTGAGACAAACAAAGAGGAATCCTAAAAATTTTTCAACTGAATGCTCACCTATTATTTTAATAACTGCTGTAATATGAACAGGACCCATAGTAGACAGAATATTAAGCCAGAAACTCTTAAACAAAACATTTTTCTTCTTAACGTGCAGTAGTGTAGGTTGTACACCCAGCCATGAGATCCAATGAGGGGCTACAATGCCACACGTCCCAGCACCATCCAATGACACTTGGCTACTGCTCAATGACAGACAAGAAGCAGGTGCTAATACAATTCTAGCAATATAAAAAGGTGTTAGAAAAAAAGATGTGCTTGGGGTTGCTGACATTTCCCTACAAGGTAATTGTCAGGTGAGACTTCCAGTTTATAACACAATCAGAGTGACAGCGGAACAAAAGCACCCACTTTCAAGACACTGGTTTGAATAAATCCAGGCCACAGCTAAACAGCAGCAGTTTTTGTCAATGACTTGCACAAAATAAAGGGATAAATTGTTGGCCTTGATGTCAGTGCTAGCTGGCAAATTTCCACATCACCGAAACGTAGCATGAGCGGTTGCGGCCCTCTCGCTAGCGGGATCAGCAAGGAGGGCAAAAACTGGATGAGTTCTGAGGACAGAGTTTGTCCTTCTTCCATCTCAGCTTGCACTGGAGCTGCCCTGGCAGCCTCCTCTCTGAGCACTAAAGACTTTTGTTTGCAGAGGGTTTAATCTGTGTCTTTCACTAGCTGCATCTTGAAAGAAAGCCTTCTGTAGTCATTTACTTTCTGTAGCACTTAGGTTGCTGGCTAATGTTTGAGTTCCCAGTTTGTCTCTGTATCACCTTACAAAAAATAATTTAAATTTCAAAACAGGAAACAAAAAAAGACAGTTTTTTAGAAACGGCCCCATGTAAGCCTTCCCTGTTGCAGAACACCGTGCAAAAACTCAGAGACACGGAGCAGTCAGTACCTTCCTCTGACACTTCAGCCCATTCTGGATTGGGAAACCCGTACTGCCCCATCCGAATTCTTCTCTTCATTCCTGGAGAAATGGCTTGTCCAGTGTTGGAGTAGAATGGAGGGAACCCACACAGGCTATAAAAGAAGTATACAGGAAAAGAATATTAAAAGTAGGAAACTTCCTTTCAGCTCTTAGGAAGTCCCATACAAGCTTATATTTTTCTGCAGGTTGCACGATGCTAGTGACTAACTCATTCTGAGGGTAAATTTAATAAAAGAGTTACTATTATAGCAATGAAAGAAGGCATAGAAGACCTTTCCTTTCTCTCTTCACCTGGCCTCTTCTCAAATACTTACAGAATATATGTGATGACCCCCAAAGACCACATGTCACATGATTTATCATACTTCTCAGGACCAAGGACTTCTGGGGCTGAGGAGATAAAAAAAGAAGTTAACAGTGTACCATATATTTCCTCTCATCTCTATCACATTGTAAACAGCAGCATATTAATATATCAGATAGTGAAGGCATTAAAAAATGCAACTGATTGCTGGAACTAGGGAGCATTTTCTATGTCAAGTTCCTAAGCACAACTAAGTAGATTTAAAGACGAGGAACAGAGCTGGCAAAATGCTCAAGTCTTCACCTTAGCATCTTCCTGCTCAAGAGAGTACTAAGATGGCAGAAAAGCAGAAGGAGCTATAGCTAAATGTGTACAGGGAGACACAGCACTAAACACGACCAGCACTAAACACGATAGGAGCATGTGTTCCAAAAATCACAATAAAAAGCATCCACTAGAGCTGGGGAAATATTTTTGAACGGTACCTAGGTGGAGTATGTTTGACTCCAGCAACTACAGTTAGCCCCTCTGGAGCACTGTATTCTTCACTAAGTAAAAAAATTATACAGAGATGCATTTAGAAAAGATTTTTCTTTCCCTGGGGCAGGTGAACTGGCAGTGAACTGATTTTGTAAGGAAAATGATTCTCTAAGAATATGAGCAAACATGCTGGTTTATAAAAAGGTGCTGAGAAAGGAAATGTCAGCCTGTTTGTATAGGAATATAAAGGCATAAAAATATATATGAATAAAGTCTTTACAATTTCATTACTAATTCCATTGTGTGTATGCGTATATGTGTGTGTGTGTGTGTATGTATATATAAACACCTCAAATAAACAAAAAAAACCCACACAGAGAGAGAAGCATCAGGAAGACATTGTTGTCACACATGCACCTGTACATTACCAAGTACTTTTCATCACCAAAAGCTGTAAATCACCTACCTAGGAGAAGGGAACTCGGTCTTGTCAAACATTAAGCCCTTTTCCTCCCAAATAAATTCCAAGCGCTGACAGCATCGGCCATACCATACGGTGAATGACTAGCAACTCCAAGAACAAAAGGGATATATATACTCTTGGAGTGAGCACAGGACAGTGCAATGTGGCACTCATTACATACTTCCCTCTCCCTGGACAAAATGCGGGCAAAATTTTAGCTGTATTTAAGTCACTTTGGTCTTTTGTTGCCAACCCCTCCATTTACCAGCTTTAGCAAGCTTTACAGTTGGGGGAATACTCTGCCTGTTCTCTTCTATTGCATTAGTTAAGCTAAGGGAACTTTTGCAAGAAAAGAACTAAATGCTATGGAGTTGAAATTATAGCTTGTACAACATCATCCACAGAGGAAACATCAGGATTACGGCACTGTATTTGGAAGCAACATGTCCTCTCTCATTGCTTCTCATTCCCTTCCACTGTTAAAAAAGTTTCCGCTGCAACCAAGGAAGAAAGAAAGAGGACTCAACTGTACAGGAACCAGTGCAGTTTGGTACTTTGGTTAGGTTGAATCCCACTGAAAATTCTCCAGGGTCCCTTTGTGTGTTATCTCCACAGGAGATTTTTGATCCATTCCTGCCGGCCCATTTCAAGGGAGGATAACAGGCTTGGACACTGAAGAAATACACTTTGGAGCACTCACCCACGTAATAAGGAGTGTAGCAGGGGGTCTGCAGTGCGTTTTGTACTGTGGTTTCTTTGGCAAAGCCGAAGTCTGTGAGTTTGAGTACGGCATCCTTCTCCTTAGATGTGTAAAGTAAGTTTTCAGGCTGAAACACCACCAAGAGAAAGCACAACGAGGTCAGTGAGCAGAGGTCTTTCTATTGAGCTGTAAGGTCAAACCACTCCTGCTTGTGAGGGCCAATTCCAGTGCCTGGGTCTCCTTTCCCTCACATCCCTATCACACTATCCTCTCAGCAGACCGAGGATCAAGATCGTTTTCAGCATGGAATTTACGGGAGTAAATCACAAGGCTCCTGCTGGATCAAATGGGTATCAAATCCCACCTCCTGGAGCCCTCCTCTCGCTCTCTTTACCTACTAGGATTATTCTGTCTGACCTACACCACTTGATCTGACAACTCTTTGTCTGGCATTCAAGTAACTGAGCTAAAGGACAAGAGGAGTCATCAAACAAGCCCTCTACAAGCAACTGACACCACTCCATCAAAATTAACTACTACAGCCAGCAGATCCATCCTGTCCTCTCTCCTCTGTCTCTTGAAACCTGAGCTAGTTCCACACTTGGCCCACAAGCCTCCTTAAAGGCTCTCCAAATCCACAAGTGGCCCAGAGAGAGCCCAGGGATGACCGGACATCCCCAGGCTCTGCAGTTGTTGGGACTTGTTCCCCAGTTTCTCAGGGACAGGGAAGCCCTGTCCTGTTGCCTGCTAATGTTCAAGCTGGACATGAAGAAGCTGGATAGACTACAAAAGTCAGAGGACTGAAGCTCTGCTGAGCAGTTTGTATCATTCCTGTGTCAGTTCACTGAGGGTTTGGAGCTAAGCATTTCAGTTTCTATGGTGGTGCTAGGCAGTGGTACCAGCACAGATCTGCAAAAGTAATCAGATTTTAGTCTCTGAACAGTTAAATCAAAGCTCCTGCTATAATCTCTCTCATACTACATATCTCTAAGCTGTAAGTGACTTGGAGCAGCTACCTTGTCTTCGTTCATGCCATGCATTTGACAGAGCACAGATAAAATTTAACACGACAAAGCCTGTCCAATCTCCCCCAGAAGGTTTGGGGACAAGCGTTAGCTAAATCTAGCACTCAGCTCCATGTGGCAGTAATTGGGATCTTCCTATTCTACCAAACATGTACAAACATTATTGACTTGGACTGGGTGCACGGAATTGGCACTGTTCCTTCCATATATGTAGGAATATTATTTCTGCCATAGTACTTCTCCCATACTATTTCTCAAGCCCTGAAGTGCTTCTGAAGCACTTTTTTTAGGCAAGTAAAACTCCAAAACTAATAACTGGCAAGGTCTGTAGACAGAGGTACAGCACCTAGAATGAGTTGGCTTCAGGCAAGCTTATTTATGTGTGAATCAACTGGATTTCAAAACAGTGATTTATAGTGATTTCTCCATAATTAACCATCTGATTAATCACCTAGATTCTTTCACGTTCCATACGCAATTGGATACGTGAATACTTTGACCTTGGATTAGATGGGAGTAAACAGATCTCTTCTCCCACTGGCAAAGGGACAGGAATGTTGCCCATCTGACTGTAGCCCTATCTCTGTTTTAACCAGCTGCCCATTCATTTTTCCACCTTCTACTCTTTCCTGCCTGCCCACGTCCCTCCAGACTCACCTTGACATCTCTATGGGCAATGTTCATTGAATGAAGATACTGGATGGCTGTTCCAATGTCTCTCATGATTTCAGAGGCCTCTATAAATACAATTCCAGAGAAAGGTCACATTAACATTCCCACTGTAACTCAGTGCCACGCTTGGGAATGTTCATGACTTACAAACAGCTTGCTGAACACAGGCCTAGCGTCAAGGCTCAAAAACCTAAAATTAGCCCCAGCAGCTGTGTTTTGGTTTGCAGGCAACCACACCCCCCAATTCCCCGGCTGCACAGCCCTTCTCCTGAGGACGCACAGACACAGAATGGCTCAGACTCCGGATTTTTATGAGCTTGTCAACGTGCGCTTTACTTTGCTTACCAAAAAGGCATCAAGAGTAGAGTAGCTGAGCGAGCAACACAAGGCTGCGGAGGAAAGACCCCCAACCAGGACATGTCCTCGGTTGTCCAGGACAGAAGTTTTACTTTCAGCCTCTGACTCAGAGGCAATTGGTCTAGTAGATTCTCCAAAACCAGAGCAACAGTATGAAATCTTTATTTTAGGATAGGTCCCATCTTTGTTCCTCACTTTCTTTAAATTTTTTTCCTTATGAGAAACAAAATCAAAAGAAACGTTCTGTTCTGCAAAGCCCAAACTGCTGCCCTTGTGACGATGTTTCTAAAATTTCACATAGAGCCCAGAAGGAAATTCTTGTGGCTGGTGAGCTGCCTTGCAAGAGCAGTTTTAAGTTTGCAAGAGTAACTACATGGGGAGCTGCTTCAGAGCAGGCAGCAGTGGCATTTTCATGGCACCAAGAGAACCTTATATTACATCTTCCTTGGGAAGAAAGTCGAATTCAAAGTGAATTTTCTGCGCAGGTAGAAACCTCAGCTGGAGGAGTGAGAGGAAAAGCAGGAATTCTTGTGCCTGGAAAACTGTTTCCACAAGGCTCGAGATTGAAGTTAGGCAAGGCTCACACGGGGACAAACAGAAGGCAGAAACATCCCCTTCAGTTCAAGCTTTGTGTGACTTCTTCCCTCCTGGCCAAGGCCAAGGCCTCTAGTTCCTAAGTGGTCAGTGAATCTGGGAATTCCAGGAAAAGAGGGTAAATTTACTGCAAGAGACTAAAGGACGGTGTATTTTTGTCTTTAAACTTCAAAATGGTTTCTAAGTAAGCATTGTGAATAGTCTATAAATGGTATGTAATTCATAAAAGACATCAGAGTAGAAACGCTAATTATCACAGAATTGATTTTCCATCTGGAGCCTCGTACTTAAGAGGGGAACAAAGAATCTGACTGAAAATGCTCCTTCTCCCCCGAAGAAGCCTGTCCCATAAAGGGTTCATCACAGGGCAGGATACACAGAGCCAGTAAAAGCCTGGCCTCTGTACCACACTTATGAAACAGTCACAGTTATTTATAAACTCAGATATAAATTTTTCCCCTTCTAATCAATTTGTGAGGATGGCCATTACGAACATGAATGTTTTTACCCCAACCAGAAATAAGCTCTTGTCTGTTGTGAATGAGCAAGGAGAGCTGCAGTCAAGCACATCCGTGGTACTCTAAAAATAATAAATAGCAATGACAATAAAAATTACCAGGCTACTCTCTCGCAAGCTCTGTCACTGACTCATAACAGGCCCTGAAAAACGCACAGTCCTTATTATAGATGAGCAGGCTTGTTTACAGTGTGGCTAATAACACTTCCTTTCAAGCAGTGCTTCAAAACCCTCGAACAAGACATGCGCCAGCAGATGCTTATTATATTCATCACCTCGCAGCACAGCTCGGCACACGATGCTGCTCAAGGGACAGCCAGGAAAGAAATCACAGGAGGGCTGTGCTCACAGCATTAGGGGTGGCTCTGGCAGAAGACCAGGGACTAGAATAGCAGAGGCTCTGATGGTTCAGAAATGAAGCCACGGAGCAGATTTGTATGAGGAACTTTCCTCTTCACCTGTCACGCTGTGTCTGAACTTCAGCAGTTCTGGAAACCCCTCATCGTCTGGGGCCTTTAAAAGTCATTGTTTAATAGAGAGCCAGATAGAAAATTAACAGAAGAAAACAAAATTACAAAACAAAACTCAACGGAAGAAAAAAAATCCTGTGAGAACTAAGCAAGGACCCACAGCAAGAGAGGAGCAGTCTCACAAAGTTGAACTTTGGTTTT